ATTACTTGTGGATTATTGTGATGTTTTTATCAGCTGTTTGGACTCTCATTCTGACGGCACCCATTCACTGCAGGTGATGGAATCATACATTTTTTGGGTGTACTATTCCTTTAAGATTCACTCCCGTCAGTCTTCAGATGCTGGTTTGTGTGTCCAAAAATCCCTTGGATGCTGAATCTGTCCCGTCCTCGGACCAAACGACTCGTGTTATCATTTAATAACCCATAATGCACCTCATGAACCTTTTTTCAGCCCCAAACAGTTTTGTTTCACACTCCTCCAAACGCGTCAGACCAATGACCAAATCTCTCTCATCACTCCATGTTTTGTCTTTGCAGGGCCGTATATATATATATATATATATATATTTTCTGTGAGTATATGTGTGTGTGTGTGTGTGTGTGTGTGTGTGTGTTACAGGAGTGTATCTGTAGGTTTTAGGGCCTTTAGTCGTGGATCTGCACAGAGCTCATCAACACAGGCACAAGAATATTACTGAATATTTAAAATAATGATTTAATAATGATGCTGATTATGCAATTTTACTATTGAATTTATGTATATATGTACAGTTTTAGTATTTTATTTTGTACACCTTTTTTAGGAAAAAAATTATCAATTTTTAAAATATTTCTCCTGCAGAGAAACCTTTCCTTTCTCATATTCATGTTTGATTTGTAAAGAAAATACTTTGAGAATTGTGAACAAGTAGCATTTCCTTTTTTATTGGGAGTTGATTTTTTTATTTTATTTAACAAATTAAACCCATTTTAAATGATGAAAGTTCGCTTCTGATTCTTTTAGTGCTTTTTACACAGTGTTTCGAAGCAGATTCACAGAAATGTGTTTAGGCCCTGTTGAACATCTATAAATATAAAGGCAATATAATTCATATAAAGTGAAATTCTGTCTTTCATCATCTGTCATCATACCTGTTCCAAACCTGTGATGTTCTGCTTCGGAAAATGAAATATATTTTTATAAGATCAAAAAACAAACACTGAAGCATTGACTCATTGTATGGACAAAGTTTTTCACTAACATTTTAAATATTTCAGTAACACTTTAGAAAACTCACTTTTTATTTATAATTTATTAATCATTCTCAACCTTAACTAATAAAAATACAATTGTTTGTTACTGTTAGTTCATCAGTAAATCAATGTAACATACAACTTCTGATTTTTGTTATAAATATTTAAATGAACATTTAGCATAAAAGCTTTAGAAGTATTGTTCATGGTGATGTAGTTAAATATTAACAATTGAAGCATTGCAAAGTTTTACCAATATGTTTCTCTGGTGGAAAGTTTTTCAGAAAAGTCCTACGTTTTTGAAGTAAGAGTGAATTATTTTTTTTAATTATTTTTTACCTTTAACATCTGACTGGCAAGAAAAACACCCTTAAGCTGCTTAAATATCGTAGAAAATAATTAAGAACTAAATGAAGCTGATGAAACATCAACAAAATAATGTCCATATGACAATATCTATTGCATTAAGGCAATGCATATTACTTCTGAATGTTAGGATTCAAGTGTGAAGATAAGCGTCAAACAAATAGATTTCTAACCGTTTTTTCCCCCACATTATACTAGAACATTTATAATTGAGAATATTAAAAAAAAAATTCACTAGCAAGACCTGCTTTCACAGAAATGTGTTTAGGCCCTGTTGAACATCTATAAATATAAAGGCAATATAATTCATATAAAGTGAAATTCTGTCTTTCATCATCTGTCATCATACCTGTTCCAAACCTGTGATGTTCTGCTTCGGAAAATGAAATATATTTTTATAAGATCAAAAAACAAACACTGAAGCATTGACTCATTGTATGGACAAAGTTTTTCACTAACATTTTAAATATTTCAGTAACACTTTAGAAAACTCACTTTTTATTTATAATTTATTAATCATTCTCAACCTTAACTAATAAAAATACAATTGTTTGTTACTGTTAGTTCATCAGTAAATCAATGTAACATACAACTTCTGATTTTTGTTATAAATATTTAAATGAACATTTAGCATAAAAGCTTTAGAAGTATTGTTCATGGTGATGTAGTTAAATATTAACAATTGAAGCATTGCAAATTTTTACCAATATGTTTCTCTGGTGGAAAGTTTTTCAGAAAAGTCCTACGTTTTTGAAGTAAGAGTGAATTATTTTTTTAAATTATTTTTTACCTTTAACATCTGACTGGCAAGAAAAACACCCTTAAGCTGCTTAAATATCGTAGAAAATAATTAAGAACTAAATGAAGCTGATGAAACATCAACAAAATAATGTCCATATGACAATATCTATTGCATTAAGGCAATGCATATTACTTCTGAATGTTAGGATTCAAGTGTGAAGATAAGCGTCAAACAAATAGATTTCTAACCG